CCACCACCGTGCCAGGCCAGGGCCAGGATGGCCCCAGGATGGTGTATAGACCCTCTTGGCCTCGGCCAGGAGGGCGTGTACACCATGCTGGGGCCCAGGATGGCCCTGCCTTGGCACGGTGGTGGTGTACAGATGCCTTCTGCGAACTTCACTCCCTATGTGGGTCACCCCCCACCGCAGCCCGCCCGAGAAGCGGGCGCAGGAGGCGGCGGGCGCAGGAGGCGGCGGGCGCAGGAGGCGGCGGCGGCAGGGGCCGGGCGGGCTCGCAGCCGGGGTCTCCGCCGGACGCGCCGGGGGGCACGGCGCAGGGCCTTTTCTCTGCGGAGGCGCTGGCGCGACGCAGCCTCGGGCAGGGGCTGGCGTGGCCCGCTGGGAGGGGGCAGCACCGAGGGGCGTCGGGCAGCGGCGGGGCGCGGGTGGCTGCGGCGGGGCCATGGGTGCGGCCGTGGTCGGACGGGGCCAGGACGAGGATACATGCGTTCCAGAGGGTGCTGAAACGCTCTGACAAGTCCGCGGCGCCCGAGACATCCTCAGAGCCGCCGGATCTCAGAGATTCTCGAGTTATCCTCACCCGATTTTATCCTCATCTTGGTCCTGTCTTATTTGGGTGCGGGCGACTGGTGGGTCCAGATTGCCACACACCGGACTGGGGCGGAGGCAGCGCCCGATCGGCCGCTGCTGTGGCTGGGGCAGGGGATCCGCAGATGCTGAGCCGGGCGGGGTGGCACCCCGCAAGGCGCTCCAGCGGCTGCCGTCCCTTGGCGGTGCTTGTGGAGGAGCTTCTTGGCGAGGTCGCGCTGCTGCGAGAGCGTGGGAGACCGTCACGACCCGGGCCCCCTCGCGTTGCAAAAAGATCACGGCGGGAGGTTTTTTCAATATTTTCGGCCTCCTGGGGCGCTCACTGAGCCTCGGGGCCATCAGAAAACGACTCGGGATGAAAAACTGGTTCAGGGGAAAGGGTCCAGACCCCTGGGGGTCGACGTTGCGAAAAATCACGAAATCGGGGGTCTGTGAAGAGGCGGCCACGACCGCGTGTCCAGCCGGTGTGCGCGTCCCAGCCGTGCACGACCGCGCCCAGAAATTCAGGGCGATCGAGTCTGGGGTCGAGGTGAGGGGTCTGGGGCGCCTGGCGGGAAGGCTGCGGTGAGGTGAGGAATCCGCGCCAGACGTCGGGCTGCCCTGCGGTGCTCCAGAATCGCTGGAGGCGCTCCACGAGCTGCTGCGACGGGGAGGCAGTGGCAGGGTCGTAGTCGCGGGGGCGCCTGGGGTGGAACCGTCTTGGCAGGATGCGCACCCTTGCCTTGGCTTTTATCGGAACGCACGCTCGTGGAACCGAGTGAGGAACTGACCGGGGCAAAGCGATGGGTCTGCCTGCTTCACCTTCCGCCGCTGGAGGAAGTTCCTCCACGTGGCCGTCTGCACACACTCCAGCTGAAATGTGGTGCTTCACGACAAGGGTTAAGTCGGGCATGTCCTCCTACTGGAAGAATATTCCAACATAGTCAAGATTTAGCCTGGGGACGGTTTTTGAGTAATTTGTTTGATGATGTTTGCGCCTTTTTCGATATATATATATATACACAATATATAATATATGATTTGTCCTCCAAAATCCGCCTGTATGGGGACGTGCCCGACCTACGACAAAGGCCGTGTCGTCGTGAGAGAGCATGGGGACACGGGCAAGGCGGCTATGAACGGGCTGGCGGGGGCGGGGGCGACGTCCGAGGTCCCAGACGCCCCCGAAGTCAAGATTTGTTCACGGCGTCGACCCTCCGACCCGGACGTGATCGCGTCGTACATAAACCCGGACGGGAGGTTTTTGGCCATTTTCGGCCCCTGGGGGCCCTCGCCGGGCCTCCAGGCCATCAAGAAACGACTCGGGACGAAAAACCCGTCCCGTGGAAAGGGTCGGGACTTCCAGGGACGCCGTCCTGAACAAAAATCAGGACGTCGCATGTCTGGGACGGTCTTCACACATTCTCCTGGACCGGCATTTCATCCTGAGAGTAGTTTTGGTGACGGGTCCTGGGGCCCACCGAGGTCCCCCAGCGGCCGACAGTAGCAACGTGTTGTCGGTCCTGTTTTTGCTCACGACTCGAGGGGGTCTCGGGAGGGAGCCTGCGGCCGCTGGCGCCATGTACGTGTGCTGGGTTCCCCCGTGGGGGCGCGGCCGCGTGTTTTGGCCCCGCCGGTTCGGCGTTGCCGGATCCGCGGCCTTCTGGGGCCCATTGCTGCGCTTCTTCTGGCGGGCACTGGGTGGAGACCGAGGCCGTTGGGCGCGATGGGGCCCATCGCAGCAGTCTGACCCCCGCGCACAGGCCCCTGGTTGGAAGACGGCGGGGGAGGAGGTGGGGGGAGGCGGAAGAGCATGATGATGATGATTATAATGATGATGATGATGATGATGATGATGATGATGATGATGATGATGATGATGATGATGATGATGATGATGGTGATGACGATGATGACGATGATGACGATGATGACGATGATGATGATGCTGCTGGTGATGCTGCTGCTGATGATGATGAGGATGACGATGATGCTGATGTTGTTGATGATGATGATGCTGATGATGATGATGATGATGATGATGATGATGATGATGCTGTTGATGATGCTGGCGATGATGTTGAGACTGTCTATGATGATGATGATGATGATGATGATGATGATGATGATGATGATGCTGATGATGATGATGATGATGGCGATGCTGATGATTACGATGACGATGCCGATGATGATAAGGATCATGAATAGGACGACGAGGATTACAGGATTACTATGATGATGCTGGTAAGGATGATGATGATGCTGATGATGATGATGCTGCTGGTGATGATATTGGTAATGCTGATGCTGCTGGTGAGGCTGATGCTGATGCTGATCTTGTTGATTACGGTGGTGCTGCTGATGAGGAGGATGATTATGCTAACGCTCATGGTGATGATGCTGATGATGCTGCTTACGATGATGCTGCTGCTGCTGCTGATGATGATGATGATGATGATGATGATGGTGATGCTGATGCTGATCAAGCTGCGGATGATGCTGATGCTGATACTTATCATGATGATAACGACGAGGATTATTATGATTAGGATGATGATAATGGTGATGATGCTGATGAGGATGCTGCTGATGATGCTGATGCTGCTGCTGCTGATAGTGATGATGATGATGCTGATGATGATGATGATGATGATGATGATGATGATGATGCTGATGATGATGATGATGATGATGATGATGGTGTTGCTACTGCTGCTGATGATGATGATGCTGCTGATGAGGGTGATGATGATGCTGATTCTGCAGCTGATGATGATGATGATGATGATGATGATGATGATGATGCTGATGATGATGATGATGATGATGATGATGATGATGATGATGATGATGATGATGATGATGATGATGATGATGATGATGGTCGTGGTGGTGGTAATGGATGATAGTGATGATGATGAGGAGGAGGAGGAGGAGGAGGAGGAGGAGAAGGAGGAAGAAAAGTAAGAGGATGGGGAGGAGGAGGAGGAGGAGGAGGAGGAGGAGGAGGAGGAGGTGGTGAAGGATGGAGGTGGAAGAGGGCGAGGCTGGAGGAGAGGAGAGGGCGAGTGGGAGGGTCTTTTTGGAATCCTCTGGCGCTGCTGCTCCTCTGCTTGGGAGGAGTCCAGCTAGCTGCGGAAGTGGGTGCCAGCTTCTCCCCCGCGCCCCTGCCCTCCTTGCAGCGCAAGAGGGCCGCGGCGCGCCGATGCGGGCGGCGTGGGGGGTGCGGCCTCCAAGGAGGGCAGAAGGAAGCTCAGAGTCGGACCGAGGAATAGGATCGAGGTCGGTTCGGGGAGGGTACCCTTGTGTTCTTCGTGCTTGTTGGATGTTCCTGTGCATCCTGGGGGGGGCACTCTGGGTTTCTTAATAAGCGTCGGGGGTCCCCCCTCCCGACGGGGGTCAACCTCGCCTCGTCTTCGCGCCGCGACGGGGGTCGGAGCGCCTTCGGCGCGTGGTGGCTGCCCGCGACGGGAGTCGATGTGGGACTGTCGGCGGGAGTGACGCCCCCCGACGCTGATTATCATTAGTATTATTATTAGTATTCTTCTTCTTCTTATTATTATTAGTATGATTGTTATTAATGTTGTTGTTATTATTATTATTATTATTATTATTATTATGATTATTATTATTATTATGATTATTATTATTATTATTACGAAACTCGGAGTGCACTTTGATACTCTGTTCGTTTTTGGCCGGCGTAGGGTCTCATGTTCTTGAGGGATGTTCTTCTGGCCCAGGTCCGATTTCACGCGGCACCGCGCAATCGCGGACACGAGTGATGGTGGCGGGCGGGTGGGTCGCGGGGTGGGTCGCGTGTGCCCAGACCCCCTCGCGCTGTGAAGCAATCGCGACGTGAGGTTTTTCTATATTTTCGGCATCCGGGGGCCCTTTCTCGGCCTCGGGACCGTACCAAAAACGACTCGGGATGATAAACGGGTGCCGTGGACAGGGTTCAGACCTCTTTGGGTCGAAGTTGTGAACAAAATCACGACGTCAGGGGTTTGGGTGGGTCGCGGGCAAGTCGCGGTGGGGGTGGGGGACGACGACAGCAACGACAAAACAGCGCAACGCAAGAACAAGATGACTCCGCGCAGCGGGATCACACTTCAGCCACGCGCCCAGGGCCGCCCTCACTCTGATACATTCCCAGCAGAGACCTTGCTAACAAACAGCAGCTTTCATGGACTCCAGATCTCGTTTGAGAAAGCTATGCATCTGGATTGGACCCTCGGCGTTTTCTTGGAGCTTTTGCCTTGGTAGAAGGTGTGTATATCTGGACCTGTGCCACCGTGTGAGAACACGCTTCGAACGAAGGCTTTTTTACAGCTTAAAGTGAGGTTCCTAACTCTGAGCAGGGGTGCATTAGAGGCCCCCGTGCCTTCCACGAGGCCCTCTCGTAAGCCTCCGAGCTCCTCCGAGGAGCCTCCCCCTTTGCCTTCTCGTGGGGCCGCCCCCCTCCTCGCCGCCACTCCGCGCGCGCCGCCAGAAGAGGCTCGCCGTCCCCGATCACGGCCTGCTCTCTGGACCAGCCGAGTCGACTTCCCATCCCAGGGCCTCCGCCGGCGCCCGAGAGGTACAGTCGGGGCCCTGAAGAAGGAACCCTTTTCGTTGGGGAGGGGCTCCGTGTTCCTTGATTGTTTCACAGCTTGCCTCAGGTTTTCCTTAGGTTTTCGGTGCGAAATCGAAGTTTCACTGATGGGAAAAGGAGGCCTCGTTCCTTGTTTAGGGTTGCTTAGGTCAACGCCTCGGCTGTATGCGTGCGATGAGGAGGGAGACCGCAGGCACGCTCACGGCGATGCGGGCAACGGCGATGTCGGTTTTGGCGTTGTAGGCGGGGGTGGTCCGTGGCCAGCCCGACCGCAGGGAAGGTTTGTCCGTGTCATCCTATAATTTGTTATGCGCGAGTTCGGCGTCGCCCAAGCCATCTTCCCAACATCGCCGTCAGGTTGGCCTTGGACGGAGATAACAATTGGCATTGGGAGGGGGAGAACTGTCACGAGGACGAGTGAGGGAGGTCGGCAGGGGCACTGAGGGCAATCTCATCTGCATGGGCAGCCAGCCACGCTCTTCCGTGCTGGTTTCGCAAATCCCAGAGAAGAGTCGGTTCAGAAGCATGCGCTTTCGGAGGTCCGCGTGGATTTCCTGGGTTGGCGTTGGACCCCGAAGCGCGCCACGGGCGGCGTCGGGGGTCAGTGCCGACCCAAGAGGTCCGCGCGGACCTCCAAAGTTCCGCTTCCCATATCCTAGGATGGGGTTCCTGCTATTACTTAGACGCCGCCGACTCCCATTCCCTCACTCTCTCTCTCTCTCTCCCCCTCCTACTCCTCCTCTCAGATTCACTCTGACTTTCCCGTGTTCAGATTCATTCACACTCAGACTCACTGATACCCAGACTCCCCCCACACTCGGGCTCACTCACACTCATATTCACTCGTACTCAGGTTCGCTCATACTCAGACTCACTCGTACTCAGACGCACTCATAATCAGACTCCGTCATACTCAGTCTCACTCACTCAGAATCACCATCTGATACTCACTCAGACTCAGACCCACTCATCCTCAGGTTCACTCACACTCAGAGTCACTGATAGTCAGAGTCACTCATACTCAGACTCACTTGCACGCAGGCTTACTCATCATTTGCAGACTCACCGAAACTCATATCAGCGAGGCGCTGGTTGCAGTACCCTAAATGGGAGCCGCCAGGGGGTATCTCACCCCCCCGCTCGCGCCCAGATTGTGGGGATGTCTCGAGAGAGGTTTGCCTGTGTGGTGGCTTGGGCTCCTCGGCTTTCAGAGGAGATTGTGAGGATGCCTCGGCCGATCGCGCCCAGATTGTGGGGATGTCTGGGGTGATTTGCCTATCTGGTGGCTTGAGCTCCTTTTCCTTCAGAGCAGATGGTGCGGATGTCTCAAGCGAGGCGCTGGTCTCAGCATCCCAAGGGGGAGCCGCCAGGGGCTACCTTATTCCTTGGTTCGCGCGGAGATTGTGGATATGCCTCGAGCGGTTTGCCTGTTTGGTGGCTTGGACTATTCTGCTTGCAGGGCTGATTGCGAGGATGTCTCGGCCGAGGCTTTGGTTTCGCCCCCCAAGGGGGGGCCGCCAGGTGAGTTTGGGTACGAGTGAGTTTGACCACAAGTGAGTCTGAGGGTTGGTGAAACTGGGTGTGAGTTACTCCGAATGTGAGTTAGGCTGAGTGTGAGTGAACCTGCGTGAGCGAGATTGAACGTGAGTGGCTCTAAGAATGAGCGAGTCTGGGCATGGATCAGTCTGAGTATGGTTGAGTCTGAATATGATGAGCGACTCTGGGTGATGAGGTGCTGGCGATTGACTCTGAGTGTGAACGCGTCTGTGTGAGGAAGAAGAAAGGTGGGCGAGTGAGTGAGTGAGGTCCGGAGGCGTCTAGGTAGCACAAGACCCAAGACAAGCCTTGGGGGGCGAAACAGGTAAACCGCCTGAGACAACGCCCCAAATCTGGGCGCGGACACGGGGTGCTGAAGCCAGAGCCTTACTTGAGACATGCCCACAATTCGTCTGGAAGCAAAGGGTGCTGCGCACCCAGACAAGCAGACCGCCCGAGATATCCCCACAATCTGTGCGCGAACGGAGGAACGGGATACCCCCTGGCGGCTCTCCCTGGAGTGCTGAAACCAACGACTCGCCTGAGACATCCTCGCAATCTGCTCTGAAGGCAAAGGCGGCCAAAAAGGCAACCCGCGTGAGACATCCCCGGGTGCGAACGGAAGGGTGGGACACCTCGTGGAGGCTTCCCCTTCGGAGTGTTGAAACCAGCGCCTCGCCTGATACATCCTCACAAACTGCTCTGAAAACACAGGATCTGCGTGAATGATTCTGAGTATGAGTGAGTCTGCTGGAGGGAGTAATGTGATTGAGCCTGACTGCTGAAAAGCGGATCTAAGTATGAGTGAGTCTGGCTATGAGTCGGTATGAGTGTGAGTGAGTCTGAGTATGAGAGAGTCTGAGGGCGAATGAACCTGAGAATAAGCGAGTCTGGGTGCGCGTGCTTGTGAGTGTGTGAGGAAGAGGAGGAAGCAGGTTGGTGAGGAAGGAGGAAAGGTCGACGTGGTCAGAGTATTTATTCGACGCGGAGATCCCAACATGTGCATCTCATACTCCTGTCACGTTTCGCTGGCTCACTCTGTCTACGAGTATCTGGTTGTGAGAGCGAGTCCGCGTAGACGACAGGCGCGGCAATGACGACGACGACGACGACAGTGACGGCCTCAGTGACGTCCTCCTTATTCTCCTCCTCTGGACATCTTCCAGGAGAGACAATGGAAAGACGAGTGGAAGAGCGAGGGGGAATTCCTCTTGCCGTTCTCCCCGCGGCAACTCAGGCAAGCGCGCTCGCCCGCTTCCTGGCGTACTGCTCGCGGCGACTGCTGGCATTTGGGGTGCCCAAGTGCCACGCCGGCCATATCGCGGGGTGTGACTGGATCCGGGTCTGACCGAACCTGAGCGTGAACGAAACTGGGTGTAGTCAGTGTGAGTACGAGTGGGTCTGGATATGAGCGAATCTGAGTGCGAGCGAATACTTTCTAAAAACAGCATCCTTCTAAGACGCCTTCCCCCTCCCCCTACCCCGTCTGCGCGCCGCCAAGGAGATCACGATGTTTGGTCGATTGGGTCCTCCAGGAGGCTTCCCTTCGCGGGTCCGCGACCATCGTGGGGCCCAGCTTGGCTCATCTTGGGCCGTACGGTGTGGTCCTGGAAGCCATCCTCGGGCTACCTTGGGGCACGTCGGAGTCATCCTGGTCAATTTGAGGGAAGGCCTCCACAGGCCCTGGAGGCGCGTTGGCGCCGAGTAGCTATCACCTATCTAAGGGGGGGGGAGCTCAGCGTCTCACGCGCCTGATATCAGCGGAGGCCAAACGCACCCTAGAACAGACGTGCCTTGGAGAGGAGGTTTCGGGGCCCACCGCTTGACGCCCAGTGGCTCGGTGTTGTTCTGGGACCGTGGCCGCTGCGACACCTCACTCGGGGCTCGTCGTCCTGGGGTTATCTTTTGGCACTCCCAGTGGTCATCCCAGTGCAGGCGAGGGTCGGCGGAACTGGACCAGCCGAGTAGACCTCTTCTTTTACTTTTCGTCCCACTCGCTGGCCTTGACATCGGTCAAGCAGGAGTGGCCGTTGCGGGGGCTCGCCATTTGGAGAGCCCTTCTGTCTATGGAGGACTGTGGGCTGGGCCGCTGCCCAGTCCTCCCCCGTCTTCCCTCTCTGCGCCCCCTCCCCCTATATCTTGTCCCGCCCCGACCTGGGTGCGGGAGGCGAGAGGGAGAGGGGGCAGCAAAAGTTTCAAGGGTCGACCGGGGTTCACAGGGTTTCCTGGGGCCTTCTGGTGGTTCCAGCGGAGGAGGGATGATGACGATGATGACGATGACGATGACGATGCTGAAGAATAAGAAGACTAGCGCGAGTACCATGAGCCATACTACTACTACTACTACTACTACTACTACTACTACTACTACTACTACTACTACTACTACTACTACTACTACTACTACTACTACTACTACTACTACTACTACTACTACTACTACTACTACTACTACTACTACTACTACTACTACTACTACTACTACTACTACTACTACTACTACTACTACTACTACTACTACTACTACTACTACTACTACTACTACTACTACTACTACTACTACTACTACTACTACTACTACTACTACTACTACTACTACTACTACTACTACTACTACTACTACTACTACTACTACTACTACTACTACTACTACTACTACTACTACTACTACTACTACTACTACTACTACTACTACTACTACTACTACTATACTACTACTACTACTACTACTACTACTACTACTACTACTACTACTACTACTACTACTACTACTACTACTACTATTCCGAATGTTAATAATAATAGTAAGACGGGCACTACTAACCTGAGTAGTATAGGGACTAATTATGCTACTAATTAGACGAAGAAACACACTCACACACACAGACATATAGCACTAGCACTAATACTCATGCGAATAATACGAATGATAAGAACGATAACCATTCTACGGCGACGACTGATATTACGACTGGTAAGACGGGGGTACGAATACGAAGCTGCAGCTGTTGATGGTGATGCTGGCGATGGTGGCGGTGATGATGGTGGTGGTGGTGGTGGTGGTACTGCTGATGGTCATGATGCTGATGCTGCTGCTGATGCTGCTGATGATGAAATTTATGCTGCTTCTGATGAACACGATGATTATGCTGCTGCGTTTGTTGTTGATGGTGGTGGTGACGATTCGGATGACCATGATGATGCTGATGCTGATGCTGATGATGATGATGATGATGATGATGATGATGATGAGGATGATGATTGTGCTGATTATGATGATGATGCTGGTGAGGATGATGATGCTGATGCTGGCGATTATGCTGATGTTGATAATGCTGATGATGCTGCTGATGCTGCTGATGATGATTATGCTGATGCTGATGATGACCATGATGCTGATGATGCTGATGATTCTGCTGATGATGATGATGCTGATGCTGATGATGATGCTGCTGCTGATGATGACGATCATGATGCTGCTGATGATGCAGATGATGATATGACGATGATGATGCTGCAGGTGAGGATGCTGCTGCTGCTGCTGATGCTGTTGATGATTATGATGATGAGGCTGCTTCTGCTGCTGCTGCTGATGATAATGATGATGATGCTGATGATGAGGATGATGATGATGATGATGATGATGATGATGATGATGATGATGGTGATGTTTTGCCAACGACGCCAGAGCCAAAAGAAAGGAGATACTTGTGCATATCATCTCGCAAAAAATTGAGGCTCGTCGCAGAGAGCGGTGACTCTCGAGTGCTGCTCAGAGCGGTGCCACCAGGGTGCTAAACACAGCGGGGGCCTGGCGGCATGCGGGGCGAAGCTATGAATAAAATTCTGCTGCTACGAGGTCCTCGGCCTCATAGTCATCGAAAGGCTCGGGGTCGGAAGTCTGCGCTGGCACACCAGGGCCTGACTCCGAGCCTGGCTCGCTGGGTGGGGCGCGGGGCGTGGCAGGGGTCGCTGTCGCTGGGACAGCGCTCGAGGCTGGCAGAAACCCTCCGCTCACAAACCTGACGGGCTCTAGAGGTTGTCGTTGATCGTCTCCAGCCAGTGGCCCACTTCGTCCTCGAGCCATCCTGCAGGGGCTACCCCCTTGTGGTGGGTCGCGGCTGCCTCTCTGCCTTCAGCGCCCTCTGGATGAGAGCGCGCCCCTCCCAGCTGGGAGCGCCCACGACGACCTTCATCTTCTGCGTGTCGTAGCAGCTCTCCAGGCGAATGAAACTGACGGCGACCTCCAGGTCCGATTTGTCGATGTCGGGCTCCGCCTCCGCGTCCTCGGGGGAGCACTTGTGCAGGTAGGTCCGTATCTCGTTCTTGATGCCGCCGCCCATGTCGCACTCCATGAGGCCCTCCAGGGCTGCCAGCGCCAGGCTGGCTGCGGGGGAGCCGATCTGCTTCATCCTCGCCTTGCCCTCCGCGCCCTGCGACCGCAGGGAGTCGAGTAGGCCTTTGTCCCCCTCCAGCTCGGCGCTGATGTGGCTGATCATCGCGTGCTTGGACGGCATCGTGTAGGTGTCGATCGCGACTGAGGAGGCCAAGCGGTTCCTGTGCGCCGTCTGGAGGACTAGCTTGAGTGTCGCCTGGAGGAGTGCTAATAGATTTCTGTCCTTGCTGTTCCACGCCTTGATCTGATGCTCGCCGCGGCGAGTGCGACGCCCTCCTCGGCGTCTCGGCTTCCTGCGCATCCCCTCTTCCTCGCCCTCGCCCATCATGGCCGCGTCCTCGCCCTCCGAGTCTGCCTCCGCTGCTCCTCGCCGCGGTGGTGGTCGCTGAAGTCGAGGCTTGACCGATGGCGGAGCCCCCGCTGCCTTTGCTGCCGAGTCTTGCCCAGATCCTCGCGAGCCCTGGGAGGAGCCCAGGGGGTGGCGCCACGCTGCTCGTGCAGGGGGAGCCTTCGCTGGCGGCTGCTCGTTCTCGCTCATCCTCAGGCGGCGGGGGTGCAGCTGGCGGTGGCGGGAGTGTCGGGGTCGCCGCTGCAAATCTGGTCCGCGTCGGCGCAAAGGGCGTCGAATGACCTGCTGTGGGGATAGCTCTCGAACGTCCGGCACTGGGTGGTCTCCTTCGCGTGGACGCCTTCACTCGTGGTGCGAGTAGCAGTCGACCCGCGGCCCGTCGTAGCTCGCGCCTGGCCGCCAATGTGTCCTGCACTGTCTGCGAAAGACGGGGAGGAGGCGGCGCGGCGAGGGGCCCACGCGGATGCTGGGTGGTGGTTGTGCTCTCCACCTCTCTGCGCGATACCTTCTTGAGCAGGGAACCCGATGGCGACGGAGGGGTGTGGGTACGTAAATGTTGACGTAGCTTAACAGGGTCATCACATTCGAATGTACATGCAGTGTCCACTTGATATTCCGATAATGGGCATGTTGTGCATGATGAGGGTATCCATGGATAACTATGATGCGTGTTCCGCGATACACCTACCTTGTATCCACGCTCGTCGTAAATGTCGTACAGCGCGATCTACATTAGGAAGTGTGGTGTCGCATGCAATGCACTTGTTGCCATCCTGTAAGGTGGTTAGTATTTGAGGCTGCCCGTGTTCTTCAGCTTTGCTTTTTGTTTGATGGTTTACAAGCTGTCGTATGGACCCAAACCGCTGACCGCATCCAGGGGGCCCGCATCGAAATGGTCGAACATACTCGGCGTCGCTGTCGGTCTCGGCCTGCTGGGTCTGGGACGGGATGGCCTCAAGAATGCTGTTTCCCTCGGGGGGGGGGGGTCCACTGGCACGTCCAGGAGCCTGCGCGAAGCGCCCGTACATCACAATAGAGAAATGCATCGCGAATCTGATCATCGCTCCAAAGTTTTTCAATCGTCTGCGGTTGCCACAGCTCTCTCAATGAGTCACCAATCGAAAGTGAGATGAGGCACTCGAGGTCACTCGAGAGCTGGCGCGCCCAGGGATGGGCGCGTGCGTCGATCTCGCCCTGCTCGTTGAGGGTCGAGACTGAGACGGGGCGGTTGCTTGTGGCCGCCTGCTTCTCAAACTCACATCTTCCGAAAAAAACCGCGAGGAACTGACCGTGGTGGCTAACGTTGCCAACAATGTTCTGCCACCAGCTGAGACGCCGCACTAAAAGCTCGATGGCGGTTGGGACCACCTGCCATTCACGAAAGATCTGGAGCGTTGACATGGAATGATGATGGCCCTCTGAGTCCTTGTGATGCGCAGCTCCTTTCAACATGCCCCGTAGCTTTTTTTTGCTAGCGTACAGTCTAGTCGGTGTACCTCACGGGGGCGTAAGATGTAGCTTTCGAGGCCAGACCAGACGCGGTCCGCGACGTTCGACAGGAACGATAACCTTTTTTGTTTCCAAGGCCCCTTGGAGAACCAGTAGTCACCCAATCGAGTCCACCCAATATTGCCCGAGACGATACGTTCGTGTAGTTCACGCTGTGAGTGTAGTGCTACATGTATATGTATCCACCCAGATGTATGAGTTCCTGGACTGCTTTGTCTGATATGTTTCGCTCAGCATCTTTTGTGGCTGCTCTGCTAGCTAAGCTGACGAGGGTATCTTGCTTGCTGATGTTTTGCGCATATCCCCCGCGACGTAATGCTCGTGATAAGCTCGTGTTGTCAATCATATCTAGCAGTCTGGCCTGGTAAGCGGTCCCGTCGGGAACCAGGAGAACCTTACATAAGTCGTCGACGAACGCGCCGATGTGCCCAGGGGAAACCTGCTCGGTGAAGGGACACCGCACTTGAAAAGGCTGCCCTTGCACCTCGGCCATCTCCTGCTCCCACTCCTCCACTAATGGGTAACATGGCCCCATGAAAAGCTCGGGCTCATTCGAGTCTTCCGTCCTCCCTCCTGTCCCTGGCCGAAGTGCTAGGGTAGCATCAGGGGCCTGGATGTAAACGGCTGCACGCTCACGGTGTTGCTCCAATAGAGGATGGAAGTGTTCGTCGTCACAACGTACCGTGTGTGCAGCAATCAAACGTGTGTGGTCACCCGTGGCGAAGGCATTGCGCATGTCGTAGCTTTTGGCCAGGCATGGAATATTGGCTGCTCTCAACTTCCAGATCATCAACTTCGCGAGCAACATCAAAGACTCGCGCCGTCTGGATTGAATCCCTCCGTAGGCCCACGATGGTGCATCAAACAAGGATGCGTATGAAATCAGTCCAACTCGCAAACAGAGGCGCCAGAAGTGGTCGAAAAAATGAAGGGGCCGAACACATTGATGAATATCTTCATTAGGCCGTCCCGTGGGAACCTTGCCCTTCTTGCCAATCGCGATGGCGTGGCTGGTGTAGGCCTGAGCTGGCAACTCCGTCGCGTGTCGCACATGTCCGAGAAGGGTAACACATTCCATGATAATAGTGTAACACATTTGTGAATCAAGCTGGAGCTGCCGCCGGTCAGGACGAGGAAGCTTGGTCGCCAAATGTTGGATCTGAAAGCGTTGATTATCCCCCAGCCCTGTGCGATCGGGCCCGGGCCGAGTGAGAAACTTCGGCGTCAGCATCATTATCGTCAACTCGATGGGCCACGCCCAGGGTGGGTTGTACCTTCTCCTCTTCTCGCGCCACAGGCGCTTCTGAATCAATTCCAGTTCGGTACTTGCTTCCTCGAGGTCCTCAATTGTCGGGGCGCCGATATATTCGCCCACGGGTTGCATATTGTCCATCTGCTCCAGCATCCGTGGTACAGCCGTGGTGTCATCGATGTAAAGACTCACGTATGTCGAAGTTGCAGTCATGCCCCCGTCGGTTGCATCTGCCGCCAGTGCCTGCTCATACTCGCTAGCCGACGGTCTCGTCGTGGGGAGTGAAAGGTAAGAACGTCGGCGTGGACCTGCACGTCGGCCCGCACGTGGATAAGTTAAATGGGATAGTCGTGATAGATCACGTGATGCCCATGCATGTCGAATTTCACTCTCAAGAGACACCTGCCACCAGTGATTCATCCACTTCTGATGTTCCCGCAGTCTGGCTTGAATATGGCATAGCATCCGTGAGTTGTATGTATGTCCACGTTCGCGAGCTTCCGCTCGCTGGCGTAGTAGTTGGAGTCGGTCCTTTTGAGCTTGTCTGTGCCAGTGCGGTCGGAGTCCTTCACGAGAATAATACTTGGCTGCCGTGGTGCGGATCAAGTGTGTAAGTATCGCCGCGTGCCTCGTCGGGGACTGATCCATCTTGGCCACTCGAAAAGCCTGCTTATATCGTTCCAGGTCCGCTGCAAGATCTGTGAGAAATGCTACTCGCTTATATCCAGTCTGAAGTCCCGCTGCAAGTGCACCCCAGTCCCATACTATTTGTGACTCAAGTGGGTTCGATGTGTTAATCGGCATACATATTCGCATCACCATTGGGATATGGTCGGGGACGTGTTCAAGTCCACGCACTCGCTTATGTGCCCGCCAATCCAATATGATGCTTCGAATGATCTCGCGTAAGTTATGGTTTTCAATGAGACAGTCAATGCGAGATCGGGACTTTTTGGGCCATAGTATGTGTGTCCGACGTCTGCGTGGGAACTCAGCGCTGAAAGGTCGTGATAGAGTAACTGATTGTGTACATGCCTGCCAAGCTCATTTTCACCCCCAGCTTGAAATGGTCCCACGGCTGCGTCGTCCGTGGTTCGTTTGGACTGCACACCTAAGCTTTGATTCAGATCCGTGAAAATGATGGGGGTGGTCCTCGCTGGGCATTCGGTGATCGCCTTAATGAGCCAAGACCATAGCTGCAAACATCCGTCCTTCCATTGTTTGATCTTGGCTCCTGTGGGGCGGGGGGCGAAATAAGCCACGATATAGCGAATACGTAACGCTCCTCGTTGGACCTCAACCAGGCCCCCCCCGTCCTCGCAGTCCTGGCCCAGGGTACGTAATCTTGCATACATCCTGCTTGCGAAACTGCTTCGAGAGGCCGATGCTGCAGCCTGCTGAAGCATTAGTATGTATGCCACGTGTCCAGCCGAAATGTATCCAATGATGTGCCACTGATGTTTCATGCTGATGCGGAGTGTCTGGGGTCGGTTGACGGATCTTAGTGCCCACGAGCAAGACAGCCTGGCACCGTCGGAAGGTGTCGCTAATGTCGTCGAGGCGGCCAGGCGAGCCCTTGAGCGTGAACGGGTTCCACCCGACGATGGATACGGGCTTGACGGCACACGGTGGCGCGATGGGGGCGATCGGCGGCTGATGGTCCGTCTCCTCGATGCTGCTGCGCTGAGGTTGGGGCTGTGGGTGAGGTGCGGCTTCGGCTGGCGGTGATGCAACTTCTGGTGGTTGTGCTGGTGGCGACGCTGCGCCTGCGGAGGGACTCGGTACTTCAAAGTCATCAGGCCAAGGAATCTGATCAACATCACTCGGGGAGTATTCCTGGCCGTGTGCAAGAGCCTCCTCCAGCAGCTCGGTGAGAACATCAGCGACGGCTCTGGGAAGATGGCGGCGGCGTGCGGCGGCTCCTTCTGCAGCTGGTTCTTCGTCTGTCCGCATGCCTAGCGCCTCAGCTGGAGCACGCCTGCGGCGCGTCCGAGCAGCGCCGCCATCGCAGGGCCCCCTGTCCGAAGCCTCGGACAAGCACGGGCGCGTCCCATAGGCCGCTGCGCCATCAAGGCCTGAGCTCGTGGCGGCCTTATGATATGATGATGATGCTGATGCTGATGCTGATGCTGATGCTGCTGCTGCTGATGATGATGATGGTGATGATGATGATGATGATGATGATGGTGGTGGTGGTGATGATGATGATGATGATGATGATGATGATGATGATGATGATGATGATGATGATGATGATGATGATGATGATGATGATGAGGGGGAGGACGAGGAAGATGAGGAGGAAGAAGAGGAGGAGGAGGAGGACAAGGAGGAGGAGGAGGAGGAGGAGGAGGAGAGCAGGAAGCAGGGGGACCCTCTCCCGTGGACCAGGGGCCTCAGGAGCTCTCTGGACGTTCTTGGAGGCCCTCCGGAGGCACCACAGTTTTCCGACCCTCGATCCTCCGTGCCCCGCCCCTGCTCCTCCTCCTCCTCCTCTTCCTCCTCCTCCGCCTCCTCCTCCTCCTCCCCTGCTCCTCCCCCGTCCATTCTTCCTGCCCCCTCCCCCTCGAGAACGGGACCCTGCAGACTCCGAGCTGGCATCGCGCAAGGTTTCACACGTGGCAGCGGCCATTAACTTTATCGTGCCAGGGTCGCTTGGGCCTCAGCACGTTCGTGCTCCTCCTCCTCCTCAACCTTCTCCATCCCTTGTCTCGACTCGGCCGGCGCCCTCACTGCACCACTGAAGATTTCATGCAATGTAGAAGTACGCGCGCTAGCGGTACGATTGACCAGAACCCCAGCAGCAAGTGGGTCCTCTTTATGAAGATGGGGGGTCCTGAGGAAAAGGGTTCCTGATTTGTTTTCCGTTTTCGGTCTACTGGAGTGCTTTCGGGCATTGGGGCAGTCAGACAAAGAATTTAGTAGAAACAGCTTATCCTAGAAGCCATGGGGTCCAGGGTCGTTTCAAACGGGGCACCTATTTCCTCATGCGCAAAGTGGATCCTCGTGGGAAGACGCTACGGGCCCCAGTGGAAGACAAATCCTGCTGCCTGCTGTACCCACTCGGTGAACGCAAACTGCCAGACTAATTAATTCCTTCGTCTCAAACACTTTCTCTGCTGACCCCGGTGCGACTGGTGCCAGACATTGCACGTTCAATGCAATTCCAACAGCAAGTGCAGTGTGGACAATGCAAGCTCCGAAACGGCGAAGCGCAAGGCCCAAGAACGCCAGTCCCGTGCAAACAAGGCAACCAGGGAGGTCAATTTTCGGACGCGTACCCAACCATACAGAGAGCGTCTGTGATCCCTGGGCGATAACGGGCGTGACCGGGAGACAGGAAAGGGCTTGTTACCTTGCGATTCGCGCTTGCGCCGTTTGAGAATGTTTGGGAATGGCTCCTTTCCAGACTGTGCCAGCGCGAATCGTGACGCGACCAGGGGGGAGGGGAGGGGGTGGGGTGGGGTCGGTCACGGGCGTTGCCGCGAATAATGAAAAGCGAGCTCATACACACTAGGGCCTCGGAACACGCACGCGAGCACACGCACACAGGTTTATCTGCAGAGCTTATGTGCCCGAGTGTCTCGTCTTGCCGAAACGGACGGCTGGAAGGTCCGACGGAGGCCAGAACGATTCATGCCGTGAGGCGCGCACGTGTCTCATGATGTTTGTGCCATCCACGATCCACGGGAAGTGCTGTGGCGTCGAGCATTCACATACCACATGTTGCCAGGAACAGTCCTGGCCCACAGTGCCCCCAGCTTTCCGCTCCATGTTGGACCCCCAGGGGCCTTTTTGACCTCGTGAGGGGTGCTCTGGAGGCCACCCGGGCGTCCCTGGAAAGTCTAGGGACATCTTGGACCAGGGACACCTCTGGGAATTCTTGACGCTTCGCGTAACCCCACCAGCCGCCGACGCCACGGACGTCGTCCGGGTGTGCCTGTCGGTCCTGCTCGTATCGAGCCTTGTGCCGACTCACACCGAGTGATCGACCTCTGCGTGTTCATGGTCGCGCTGCCGCGCCATTCTGGCTGCGCCTTCTTGATGGTCGCCACCGGGGTCTCCACGCCACCGAGTTGGGAGTGTTGTTTCTGGCTCTTCTTCTTCTGATTGGCTGCCCGCGCGCTCACTTTGCTTGCCTCTCTTTTCTTGCTGCTTAGTCGCGGCCCGGCTAGTGTTCGGACGGCTTTCGACCTGGTTCGCGAGCCCGCAGACCAAAAAGTAACCCCACCAGCCCATCCAGAAACGATCAGCAGGGGAGTCGGTGAATCAGGGGCGGCAGGACGCATGCAGTTGCGCAGCTGCCTTCGAGAAAACAAGGATCACAAATAGCTTCCCACATTGAAGTTTAAGATGGAAATCGGTGCAAGCTACGGTGGTGCTTCGATGAGGGGTGAGGGGTGTTTCGATGACTCGTGATGGCTGTTGCACTGATTTGTATCTTAAGCTCGCGTGCGTTTCGAAACTTGGAGTCATCTAGGGGGTCTCTTGGGGTCCTCTTGGGGCCCTCCTGGAGCTCTTTCTTGGGGCTCTCTTGAGGTCCTCTTTGGGCCTTTTTGGAGCCCTCTTGGGGCTCTTTGGGGCGTCTTGGGGCTCTCTTGGGGCTCTTCTGGGGGGTCTGGGGGCTTTTGGGATGCCTGAGGGGCCTCTTGGGGCCGTCTTGGACCCTGTCGCTAAAAATGAAGGGGGTTCTGATTCCCATCGCCACCTCGGAGGCTCAAACATGCAGTATTGAGGCCCTCTTGGGCCGCTCTTGGGGCGCTATTGGGCGTTTTTGGGGCCGTCTTGAGGTCCTCTTGGGCCCCTCGTGGGACTATCTTGGGCCGTCTTGGGGCCATCTTGAGGCCTGAAGAGCCCATCGGAGGCGAAAAAGCGAGAAGGCCAATAACTTTGATTTCCCCCAGGTTTTCGAATGATTTTGGCCCTTTGGGGGAGTCCTCGGAGGGCACTTGGAACCGTCTTGCGGCCGTCTTGAGGCCTCTTGGATGCGTGTCGGAGGCTATCTTGAGCCATCTACCGCTATCTAGGGCCATCTTGGAGGCCATCTCGCACTCTTAGAAGCCCTCTTGGAGCCATCTTGGGCCGAAAAGGGCCCTCTGACACCCCGCGGGGGAGCCCGTCCAGACGCAGGGAGGGGGGGGAGGTAAACCTCCCGAGTAGGGAAAGGAAGGAGGTTGGACAAGGAAACGCTCTAGACCACCTGCGCCCAGAGGGCTGGTGGGATACTTCAAAGTTGCCCCATTCAGGAAAGCGAACGGGCCCAGACTGAGGCAGGACGACCGGGCCAGACTGAGGCATACTGTAGCCGGGCAAGTCGGAGTGATGGGCGGCCTGGACACGTGAGGGCTCTGGGCGACTGGGCAGAGGCTCGTCGCCCAGAGCAGCTGCGCATGAAGCCGATCGAGCGGCCTCTTTGTCGAAAGCGCCTGCGGCGAGCCCCCGCCGCCCCCAAGCCTTTTCGGAGCACCTGCGTGGCCAAGCGTTGGGCCACAGTCGGGCTACGCTATTGGACCACGTGTTCCCCCAGCCACGGTGGAGTCCCTTTGCGGAGCACCTTTGTGGAGGAGGAGGAGGAGGATCATTGCACACCCAAGACCCATGATGTTGGAATAAACCCTCCCTCCGAGCTCCCTCTATGGACCCTCTCCGTAGGCCCCTGCAAGGATTATTTTCCACTAATGGAAGTGCCCCGTTGGGGTACAATCCTCTGAAGATCCTGAAGCGTGCCAATGCATTAATCTCGAGATTCCATCGCCACGCATCAACCTGATTGTTGCGTCCTGCCTGACGGTCCCGAATCGCGCCGGAACAGTATTCCTGGGACACCAACGCTGCAAACCAATCTGATTGTTGCGCCCTGACAGTCCCGAGTCGTCCCAAAACACCATGTATGGTACGTTGGCCATGGGGATCCGTGAAACTTTTGTTGCAAGTATTTAACCACGAATGCGCGCGGTGCTAAGGCGAGAGCCACATTCTGAAAGCCACCTGCCCTCAATCCGTGAAACTCTTGTACTTGTTAAGACCAGTGTGCGCTGCGCGAAGGCGAGAGCCACAGTTTGAACACCACCCGCCCTCAATCCGTGAAACTGTTGCAGCTTGTTAAGACGAGTCCTTGGGCCGTCTTGGGACAATGGAGCCATGTTGGGCCATCTTGAGGCCATCTTGAAGCCACCTTGTGCTTTCAGGGGCCTATATCGGGCGTCTTGGAGGCGTCTTGGGACCGTTTGGGAAGCCATCTTGGTCCATCTAGGTCATCTTGCAGCCATCTTGGAGCCACCTGTGGCAGGGAAGCCGTTGCGTGCCGCTTTTCGGGATGGTCGGGCTTTTAGGAAGGGCCAGGAAGAGCATAACAGAAGTTTGCTGCCCACCGCCCCCTGCAGTTTGAAAGCGCCTATCTGACCAAGCGTCTGGCCAGAGTCTGGTCAGGATCTTGGGCTATGTGTTCTACAAGCCGTTGTAGAATCCCTTGGGGGAACCATTTTCGGGAGGAAGATGCAGAGGATACTGAGAGGGAGGGAAAGGAGGGCGACGAGGAGGAGGAAGAGGGAGGAGGAGGAGGAGGAGGAGGAGGAGGAGGAGGAGGAAGAAGAAAAGGAGGAGGAGGATGATGATGATGATGATGATGATGAGGAGGAGGAGGAGGAGGAGGAGGATAATGATGAGGCTACAGCAGCGGGGCAAGGCTAGGAGGATGTGATGTGACTTGTCCGCAGGTCACGCGCCAGGAGGAGGAGAATGAGGAGGAGAAGGAGGATGCCTCTTGGGACGTCTTGGGGGCATCCTGGGCTGTCTTGGGAGCCTCTTTGGCCATCTGAGGGCTCTGTTGGCTCGTCGCACACCTTCGGAAGCTGCCTGGAGGGTCCGTCTCGGGCGTCTTGGGGCACTGGGGCGCTGTAGGTCCGTCTTGGAAGTCTATTTGGACCGTCCTGGGGGCCTCTTGGCCCGTCTTGGGGCTCTCTTTGGATATTTGTTGGGCCGTCTTTGGGCTATGTTGGAGGCCCCTCGGGCCGTCGTCGTTTGTCGGAAGCGAGATAAGCAACTTAGGAACACCATCACGAGTTTGGCCTGTTCGGGCCCTTCCGTGGGGGCCCTGGGCCGTCTTGGAGACGGGACGTCTTTGATCATTTTGGGCGAGCGCAAAGGTCTGTTAGACCCTCGTGGGCCGCCTTGGAGGCCATCTTGGAAAGCCCTGTGCCGTCTTGGTTCCGGCTTTTATGGGTTGCCGGCGGGTTGAGCTGGAGGCCGCTGAGAACCTTTTGGAAGAGCCAATGGGTAATCTCAAGTCCAACACGCCAAGCACCTTTTTGCGAGCAAAAGGGGGCGGTGGATCGAAGACGCCTACGGTGAATCACCGCCGCCCCCTGCCCTTGTGGAAGCGCCTATGTGGCCGACAGCTGGGCTAGAGCCTGGCCAAGCTAGCGGGCCAGTTGTTCCCCGAGTCGGTTTGGAGAGCCTTCGGGGAACGCGTGGGGGAGCAAGAGGTTTGAAATCGCTCATGTGTCCGAGCGTTGTGGCAAGAGCTCTGCCAAGCTGTCGGACCATGTGTTCCCCCAACCGTTGTGGAAACCTTTCGAGGAACACTTCGGGGAGGATGGCGGGGAAGATCATGAGAAGGAGGAGGAGAGGAGAAGGAAGGAAGAAGGAGGAGGAGAATGAGGAGGAACATAAGGAGGATGAGATGACGAGGAGGAATCTTGGGCGTCTGGGAGGCCTCTTGGGCCGTCTTGAGGGCCTCTTAAGGCCGTCTTGGGCCTCTTGGGCGATCTTTGGGGGCACTTGGGCCATCTCGGGCCGTCGGAAGGCCGTCAAAAAAGCAAAGGCCACAATCCTTCAATAATGCATGGGAACAATAATTTTGGCCTTTTCGCGCCTTCCTGGAGACCCTCTTGGAGGCCTCTTGGGCCGTCTTGGGCCATCTTAGGGCATCTTTGGCCGTCTTGGTGGGCTCCTGGCCCGTCTGACGCCGTCGGAAGCCGTTTGGGGGGCCTCTCTGGGCCGACTTGGGGCTCTCTTGGACTGCTCCAGGGCCGTCTTGGAAAGGCCTCCTGGGCCGTCTTGGGGGGCCTCTTGGGGCCGTCTTGGGGGCCTCTTGGGCCGTTCTGGAGCCATCTTGGAGGCCTCTTGGGCGATCTTTGAGCGATCTTTGGGGGCTCTTGGGCCGTCTCGGGCCGTCGGAAGGCCGAAACGAAGCAAATGTCCAAATCCTTCAACAACCTCAGGAACATCAGTGTGTTCGGCCTTTTCGGGCCTTCCTGGAGGCTCTTGGAGGCCTCTTGGGCCGTCTTGGGCCATTTTAGGGCCACGTTCGGCCGTCTTGGTGGGCTCCTGGCCCGTCTGACGCCGTCGGAAGCCGTTTGGGGGGCCTCTCTGGGCCGACTTGGGGCCCTCTTGGGGTGCTCCGGGGCCGTCTTAGAGGCCATCTTGGGCGTCTTGGAGGCCATCTTGGGCCGTCTTTGTGCTCTCCTGGGGCCGTGGGCCTCTTGGGCAGTCCTGAGGCCATCTTGTAGGCCTCTTGGCTGCTCGGGGGGCGATCTTGGGGGCCTCGTTGGCCGTCTTGGGTCGTCGGGACGCCGAACAGGCGCAAACACGAAACACCTTCAAAAACCTAAGGAACATCAATGATTTGGGCCTCTTTGAACTCTCCTGGAGGACCTCTCGGAGGCCTCTTGGGCCGTCTTGGAGTTCTCTTGGGCACCTCTTGGGCCGTCTTGGGCCGTCTTGGAGGTTTCTTGGGCGGACTTGGAGGCACCTCCTTCTCTCTTGGGCCGTCTTAGAGGCCATCTTGGACCATCTTGGAGGCCATCTCGGACCAACGTGGCCATCTTGGAGGCCATCTTGAGCCGTCTTGGAGGAACATTTGGAAATTGGGCGATGGCTTGGGCGTCCTATGGGTCTTGCGGGGGCCCCAGCGGGACGGGCCGACGCCCCAAGGGGATTTCTTTTGGAAAAGCACCGGAACCAAAACCGAGAGGGTCTATCACGCCAGGCACCCCTGCGATGAATCGACAGGGGGCAGCGGATCGAAGACGCCTACGGCGAATCACCGCCGCCCCCTGCCTTTTTGGAAGCGCCTATGTGGCCGAACGTTGAGGCCAGACCTGCCAGGCTGTCGGACCATGTGTTCGCCGAATCGGTTTGGAAAGCCTTCGGGGAACACGTGGGCATCTTGAAGGTCATCTTGGCCGTCTGGAGGCCATTTTACCTAACAGCGAAGACTGATAGGTTTCTAGTTGACTCAAAAGAGCTCACAGATCACTCCACAGGGGGGTCCGGGCAGGCGTTGGGAGTTGCCGGCCGGGCCTGTGCCGGGCTCGTTTTTGACCAACAGTCACACACTTCGTGCTCGTCGACTTCCCAGAACTCCATTCCCAGGCCACATTCTGAATAACCGGATGCAACAGTCACACACTTCGTGGTCTTCGAGTCCCCAGAACTCCATTCCCGGGCCACATTTTGAATGCCCGGAGCCAACTGTAGGCCACTTCGTGGTCTTCGAGTCCCCAGAACTCCATTCCCGGGCCACATTTTGATGCCCGGAGCCAACTGTAGGCGTGCTCTTCGAGTTCCCAGAACTCCATTCCCGGGCCACATTTTGGATGCCCGGAGCCAACTGTAGGCCACTTCGTGGTCTTCGAGTTCCCAGAACTCCATTCCCGGGCCAGATTTTGGATGCCCGGAGCCAACTGTAGGCCACTTCGTGGTCTTCGAGTTCCCAGAACTCCATTCCTGGGCATGATTTTGAATGCCCGGAGCCAACTGTAGGCCACTTCGTGTTCTTCGAGTTCCCAGAATTCCATTCCCAGGCCACATTTTGAATGCTGAGGCAGGCTGAGGCTGAGGCTGAGGCAGGCTGATGCTGAGGCAGGCTGAGGCTGAGGCTGAGGCGAGGCCGATGCAGGCTGAGGCTGAGGCAGTCTGAGGCTGACGCCGAGGCTGAAGGCAGACTGAGGCTGAGGCTGAAGCAGGCTGAGGCTGAGGCTGAGGCAGGCTGAGGCTGAGGCAGGCTGAGGCTGAGGCTGAGGCAGGCTGAGGCTGAGGCTGTGTCTGTGACTGCCGTTGCCACTGCGACTGTCATCGCGAATGCGACTACGACTGCGAGAACAGCACAATTCTACAACTGGATTCTCATTTGAATCTTAAGGGGAATGCTTCCAGATATGCTCCTACACATCGCTGTTAGGTTGCTTTGCCGGGATAATTTACCCTTTCGGGCCTTCTTGGAGGACGTCTTGGAGGGCTCTTGGGCCGTCTTGGAGGCCATCTTGAGCGTCGTGGAGGCCTCTTGGGCCGTCTTGGGGGCCTCTTGGGGCCGTGTCTTGGGTCTCTTGGGCGATCTTTGGGGCACTTGGGCCGTCTCGGGCCGTCAGAAGGCAGAAAAACGCAACTGCCACAATCCTTCAAAAAACCCATTGGAAAACAATGATTTTGGCCTTTTCGGGCCTTCCTGGAGGCCCTCTTGGAGGCCTCTTGGGCCGTCTTGGGCCATTTTAGGGCCATGTTCGGCCGTCTTGGTGGGCTCCTGGTCCGTCTGACGCCGTCGGAAGCCGTTTGGGGGGCCTCTCTGGGCCGACTTGGGGCCCTCTTGGACTGCTCCAGGGCCGTCTTGGAGGCCATCTTGGACGTCTTAACGGCCTTCTGTGCCGTCTTGGGGGCCTCTTGGGGCCGTCTTGGGGGCCCTCTTGGGCCGTTCTGGGGCCATCTTGGAGGCCTCTTGTGCGATCTTTTGGCGACCTTTGGGGGCTCTTGGGCCGTCTCGGGCCGTCGGAAGGCCAAAAAGAAGCAAATGTCCAAATCCGTCAAAAACCTTAGGAACATCAATGTTGTTTGGTCTCTTCTGGCCTTCCTGGAGGCCCCCTTGGGGGCCTCTTGGGCCGTCTTGGGCCAGCTTCGAGCCAACTTCGGCCATCTTGGTGGGTTCCTGGCACGTCTGACGCCGTCGGAAGCCGTTTGGGGGGCCTCTCTGGGCCGACTTGGGGCCCTCTTGGGGCGCTTCGGGGCCGTCTTGGAGGCCATCTTGGGCGTCTTGGAGGCCATCTTGGGCGTGTTGGAGGCCTTTTGGGCCGTCTGGGGGCCCTCTTGGGGCTGTCTTGGAGGCCACTTGGGCCGTCATGGGGCCCTCTTGGAGGCCTCTTGGGCGATCTTGGGAGCCTCTTTGGCCGTCTGGGGCCGTCGGAAAGCTGAAAAGGCGCAAATGCCAAAATCCTTCAAAAACCTATGGCAAATCAATGATTTCGGCATCTTCGGGCCTTCCTGGAGGACCTCTTCTCTTGGAGGCCTCTTGGGCCATCTTGGAGGCCTCTTGGGGGCCTCTTTGGCCGTCTTGGGCCATCTTCAGGCTATCTTAGGCCGTCTTGGGTGCATCTTGGGCCGTCTTGGAGGCATATTAGGGCCATCTTAGCAGTCTGGGAAGCCATCTTGGGCCATCTTGGGCCATCTTGGGGCCGTCTGGGGCAGGAAACCGTTGGCAACTGGGTCTTCCGGGTGGCCGGCGGGACGGGCCGAAGCCCCAGGGGGAGTTCTTTTGGAAAAAGAACCGAAATCAAAAGCCATGCGGTCTGGCACGCTAGGCACCCCTTTGATAAAACTAAAGGGGGCGGCGGATCTTGAGGCTTTCGGCCCAGTCCGCCACCGTGCCTGGCTTGTGGGCGCGAGGTGATGTGGGCCTCTTGGGGCTTCTCCTGGGCGCCTGCGAGGAGCCTGCTGGGAGCCTCTTGGAGGTGCCACCTTAGAGGCCTCTGAGGGGCCTCTGGGGAGCTTCTGGCGGTCTTGGGCCCATCTTGGAAAAGAGGAAACGGTATCGATACCGCTACCCTTCCTTCGTTTTCACCTTTTCGGGCCTACTGGGCCGCCCTTGTCGCCACTGCTGGATTCGCCTCGAAATTCTTATCAGAACGCTGCCCAGGAGAGGTCCAGGGAGTAGCGTAATCGGTACCTTTCGGTTTTCCCATTCTTGGAAGGGGGGCTTCCGTCGGTCCGGCGGTGGCGCGTTTTTTTTTTGTTGCTCCTCTCGGGGCCGTATTGGGGGCCCCTTTGGGCCCCTCGGTGGGATCTTCGGATGCCTGTCTTGGAGCAGTCCTGGGGACATCCAGGGCTGTTGTAGACCCTTGAAGTCGGAAAGGCGCGCACGGTTCGACCCACTCGGCGGTTACTTCAAAGGAGCATTCGACTTTAGTGCCCGCTTTCTTCGGCACATACTGCGGGGACATCAAGAAGCTCAGCACGGGTGAAGCAGTCTCCTGGTCCTGCTTGGCGCAAGCCACTGTTGGAGCTGCTGACTGCGGCCTTTCCCGGCAGTTGCCCGACGCCTTACAATGAAAGCCTTGAGTATCGGGGGCGGAAAAGAGGGGGGTGATGACTAGGGGGGGGGATATCATGGCGGGGGCCATGATATCTCCCCAGATTTCATGGCGCCTCTTCTTGTTTCAGTACGTCCCTGGCCCCCCCGCTGGGCCGCGCACATGCCGCAGGCCATGATTTGCACCCCCCCCTCTTGGACGCCCCCCTCTTTGCCGCCCCCGAGAGTAAGGAACACTTACTTTTCAAAAAGGGGCCCGGTCGTTCCTTAGGTTTGCATGCGTTCCGCTACCTTTTTGGCGGCGAGGGCGGGCGTTCCTTGGTGGTTTGGCGGGGAGGGCGGGGGTCGAATTGCAAGAGCAAGTCGTAGCGGAACGCCGCTAGAAAGGGGCTCGGCCGTTCCTTCTGGCTTCATGGGCTTACTTGGAGAAAAAGGGGCTTCGTTCCTTATTTCATCGCTTCGCTCATGCCGCTGGCCCTGGAGCCCTCTTTAGGGCCTCTTGGGGCCCTCTTGGGGACCTCTTGGGAGTCTCTTGGGGCTCCTTGGCGGCGTTTTGGAGGCCCCCAGGGCCTCTTGGGGGGCTCTTGGGGGTAGTCGATTGCGGCTCCCCCCTCGGAGGCCACGATCCTCGTGAGGGGTGTCGAAAAATACCCTCCCCTGGAGTGGTCTGGTGGCTTCTCCCGGGCTTCTCTCGGGACCTTGCCGGGGTACTTTTCGTCCGGGGGCCCCCAGGGGCCGCTCCGCGCGCGCGAACTAGAAATATTGTTAACAAGTTACCGGAGATCTTAGCACGCCTCTGGCCCGTTGGGCCGGCGAATTCATCGTTCCTTAGGTCAAGACCCTCACTGTACCTGTAGCCCTTCCCAGCAGCCCTTCCCTTCCCCTCGGGCTCTTGGGCCGGCCCCCGGGGCCCTCTCGACGGCCCAAGAGGCCCTCGGGGATGGCTCCAGGACGAGTGTCACGATTCCGAGCAGCGCTCTCGAGGCCTCGGGAACCGGTCACGCAGCGCACCCCAGAAGCTCGCGCGCGCGCGCCTCTGAATTCCTCGAGCTGCGGCCTGGGCCCCTTCAATCATGCTCACTTCGACTCCTCCGGCTCGATTCGATACGATTTCGATTCCGATTCCGATTCGATTCGATTCGACCTCGGACTCCCATTCGGGTTTTGGCCTCTCCATGGACGCTTTACTAGCCTGTCGACTTCCGCCGACCAGGCTTCTCCCGACTCGGCTGCCGATGTCCGCCGATCCGATTCATTTCGATCGCCGACCCGCGACTTTTCGGTTCGATCCTCGGCTCTCCTGCCCCCGAACTCCGCGAGCTCGGGCCTGGGCCCCTCCAGGAGCGCCCACGGCAGCCCCGCGTTGGGCTTCCGAAGCGGCCCGTGGAAACTCCACCTCTGCGCCACGCACAGTCGTCTTGAAATAGTAGTGCAGTCGTATGGTTGAGGCCCCAGGAACGGTGTTGTGGTACTGTCTAGGACTGTTAGGACGCAGTGGCCATATTGATTCGCGTGCTGGAATCCCAGGAGTGGTGTTCTGACATGGCTTACACTTGTCATGACGCAACAGCGGCACGGTGGCGGATCTCTTTGCAGTGCACGAGCTCTGGTCGCTTGGACCAGCTGGGCAGACCCGGATCGGAGGGAGACGAAGCGACACCAGCACCACCCGGGGGGCCACCTCCAGCGAGGAGGTCCACGGTGCTTCCCCGAGCTGGAGGCCGGGGATGTCTCGAGCGCGAGGGCCGGGACCACACCAGCAGGGAGGCACCTCTTGCTCCTCGCGTCTCTTCGCCCTCATGGTGTCGGCGTCGCGTTGTTCCCCTCCCGGCGGAGGGAGTCGCCGGGGCCTCCCGCCAGCCGCCTTCCCTTGCGAGCGCCGTCTTGGGCAGCTCTGGGGACCTGGGCGCCTGCAGCACAAAAAGGGCGGCGGGCGCAGGGGGGCGGCAGCGCCCCCTCGGGGCGGCCCGCCCGGCGGGGGCAGCGCTCCCCAGAGGCCGGCAGGATCTTAATTTAAGACCGGGCAAGTAGCTTCTTATTTTCTAACATGTCTGATTTAAGAGAATAAGACCCTTACGTAAGATCATGCACATTACATATTTTTGTTGTGTTTCTTCAGCATTCAAACTCACCACGGCCCCATCGCAACGTCCTGGAAGGCCCCTTTTCTATCCCCTCATAACCCATTCATCATCCCTTTCTAGTCCTCCTAACCGTTAGAGCCACCCCTGGGAGGCAGGAGACAGATGAGGGAATTGAGCAGGAATATCACCACAATTAGGGATAATCCAGATCAGCGTTTATATATATATATATATATATATATATATATATAGCGCCCGTCTTGCTAGTGCTGCCCCCATGCCGATGCCACCCCCCATGATGATGTTGCCCCAGATGCCCCCCCCATGTTGATGTTGCTGATGTTGCTAGATGCCCCCGCATGCTGATGCTGCCCCAGGATTCGTCCATTTCTCGTCTCTAAGTGCGTCTTCTCTTGTTAGTCTTCGTCTTCACCTCCTCGTCACGATCGCCTCTTCGCCTCTCCGTCCCCGTCTTCAGCCCGTTGTGGCTCGAGGGATTGTATGACCCCGCACCATAGCGGGGGGTCGCCCTCGCCGCGGTACAAGGACATCCGCCTTTGGATGGTCCGCATGCCGCTGGCGCTGGGGGGGCAAAATTGCCCATCCCTGCCCTTTCTCCCTTTACTCCTCCTCCTCCTCCTCCGCCTACTCCTCCTCCTCTTCCTCCTCCTCCTCTTCCTACTCCTCCTCCTCTTCCTACTCCTCCTCTTCCTCCTCCTCCTCCTCCTCCTCCTCCTCCTCCTCCTCCTCCTCCTGCGTCGCAGTCGTCGTCGTCGTCGCATGTTTCGTCGTCGTCGTCGTCGGCGTGGTACGCTGGCACCCTCCTCATCTTCCTGCTCCTCCTCCCCCACCTCCACCTCCAAGGGGACCGAACTGACGGGCCTCGACACGATCGCGAGGGAGATGGAGCAGGCCAGCGGGAGTTTGATATGTATGTACGTATGTAGTTATTGCTTTGGTATGTGTATATTTTCATCAAATAGATGTTTGTTTATGCATGTAAACCTGTGCACATATATATATATATATATGTTTGTAATCATTTGCTTGCATATGTCGTCATGTATTGGTCCATGGCGTACCGTTATACATGTGTATAGATGTTATCTGGTGTTGCGAAGTCGTTACACATGTGTAGGTATATATGTATGAGCGTTGGATACGCAGCGTAGGTTTGCCATTTTCATTCCGAAATCCGCCTGCAGGGGGACGTGCCCGACTGGGGCCCGCCGAGGTGTCGCCTTGTGGACGTGCGCGGGCGCTTCGTGGGGGCTCCGAGTGCGGGGCGGGTCCGCAGAGGTTTCGCCTGGCGGGCGCCCGTGGGCGCACGTGGTGGGCGCCTTGCGCGCTGTACTGGGTGTGCCGAGTGGAGCACGCATGGGTGTAGTGTTGGGCCGATTTGGATCCGATTTAGACGCGTCCAAATCGGGCCCAAATCGAGCCCAAGTCGGATCCAGGGGCACGAGGATGTGGATGATGAGGACGATGATGATGATGCTGGTGATGATGATGATGAGGATGACCATCGTGACGGTGGTGATGATGATGATGATGAGGATGATGATGATGATGAACATGACGGTTACACCATACCTCCCCCCAGCGTTGCCCCGCCCCAGGGGGCTGTCGACACCGTCGAGGGCTCGGACACAGAGGTCGAGTCCTGCACCAAGGGCGTCGAGACCATGGTGCAGGAGGCCATGCAGGTGGCACGCGAGTGCTCCATGACGGAGCAGGAGATCCAAGAGGAGTTCGACCGCCTGGACTTGGACCAGACGCTGCCGTACATCGAGGGCGCGGCTGCAGCGGTGAACCACCTGCGCGCCAAGGCGTCGCCAGCCGAGGAGCAGCATGGGCAGCCCGCCGAGGAGCAGCGCGCAGAGAAGCAGCCAGCCGAGGAGCAGCCAGCAGAGAAGCAGCCAGCCGAGGAGCAGCGCGCAGACATGCAGCCAGCCGAGGAGCAGCGCGCAGCGAAGATGCAGTCAGCCGAGGAGCGGCGCGCATCGAAGATGCAGCCAGCCGAGGAGCAGCGCGCAGCGAGCATGCAGCCAGCCGAGGAGCAGCTGGCGCATGGACGGCCAGCCCCGCCCCCGGCCGCCCCGAGTCCTGCGACGCCCCCTGGCCCGCCTCCGCCCACGCCCTCGGTGGAGCAGATCGATTCGGACGAGGACAGGAGGGCCAAACGGACAGCAACATGACCTGGTCGGGTGGTGGGCTCCTCACCCGAGGAGCCCATGACCACAGTGATTGTTGCGTTCGCTTGGTCTCCTCAGGAGCCGCTGCAAGCCATTGCCACCACTTCGCCGAGGTCGCGCCCGAGGTCAGCGAGCTGGGTACCAGCGCCAGAGACGCCGCAGCTGGCGGACACGCCATCGTACAATCCAGCGGACTCGGGCTCGCAGCTGCCGCTCGGGCTCTCGCAGCAGACTTCGGACGAGCAGGAGACGCCAGTGCTGCCATCCTTCAAGCGGTCGCTGACAGACGATGTGCAAGTGGAGACCAAGAAGTCCAAAAGGTGGCAGAGTAATCGCCTCGTGAGCCCGCCACGCGTGGAGGAGCGCGTGCCAGCGCATCCGCGCTCGCAGCGGCCGCTCACGGCGCCGCCGCAGCTGGTGGGCCAGCGCCTGCAGCAGCCAATCGAGAGCAGCCACATCAACAAGCAGCAGGCGATGACAGCGCCGAGCATCGACCAGATGGCGCGGGCACCTCTCGATGGCAACTGCGGCATCAGCAAGGAGCAGCTGGTGGAGAAGCTCAAGCAGAAGTTCGACGAGCTGGTCGCATCCGACACGGGTGCGGACTTGGACGAGATGGGCAAGACTTTCCAGGACTTCTACAAGGGCTCCTTGATCGTGCAGCTGCGCGCGATGCGCCCTGAGACCGCGGAGAAGCCTCTGGATGACGACTTCGGCGCCGACCCGAAGGAGTCGGCTCTTGACAGGGAGGAGCGCCTCATGTGGGAGTCCTTGGAGGAGAAGGCGTTCAAGTTCAGCACGGAGAAGAAGAAGGGCAACGCGATCGCGGGCAGATGGGCCAGAGTGATGGAGGCATCGAACGAATGGTCTGAGAAGTACCTGGCGGCGGAGGGCTACCCAGCCAAGAAGGCGGTCCGCGAGGAGTGGGCGAAGTGGTCGTTCCACAGGTGGCAGAAGAAGCGGGAGTTCAGCAAGACGCAGGCGAACATCAAGAAGCAGACGATGAAGGGCGTCTACATGCCGCTGGCCAGGCTGGCGTGGAAGTTTGGCGGAGGGTCCACTGGTGCCAAGCTGGCATGCACATATGCTGGGAAGGCAGTGCTAATGGGGGGCATCTTCACGAAGTGGTGCAACATGACGGACTGCCTTTTCTACCTCTACGTGGAGCACTCGTTGGAGGACACGTGGCAGCAGAGCTGGACCAGCCACGAGGTCTGGATGGAGTCGGGCTGCGTCGGCGGCCAGCCACCTCCTGGCGCCGATGGCGTGGCCAGCGTGCCATGCACTCCGCTGCCGCGCCCTGGTGCCGAGGCGTCCAGCGAGGAGAAGCAGGCAGCCGCAGCAGCGACGGGCGGCCCTGGGAACGAGGCCACCAGCGGCAAAGGAGGCGACGGCGAGGGCAACGGCAACAAGAAGAAGCTCGCCGTGAAGGCGCCCGAGTGGATGAAGGACTTCCGCAAGCTGCGCACAATGTTCGCGCAGTACACATCCCAGGCCCACGGGGGGGCACCGCTTTGATGGGGGAGAGCCAGGGCCGAGTGGCGACGGTGAGTTCGACGACGCCAGCGGCGCGATGATAACCGACGCAGCCGATGCGATGAGGATAGCGACGACAACGGGGAGTTGGGCCGAGAGGAGCGATGAGGCGGATGAGGGAAAGGTGGAGGAGGAGGATGAGGATCAGGATGCGAATGAGAACAACGCGAAGTGCGGGGTGGGGGGACAAATGAGAGGTGGACGATACGTCATGTCGGAGCGGGCGGGGTGAGACGCAGGAGCAGGACGGGATGGCAACGTGACTGGAGTTATAAGAGAGAGAGAGAGAGAGGGAGAGAGAGAGAGAGAGAGCGAGAGAGAGAGAGAGAGAGAGAGAGACAGAGAGCGAGAGAGAGAGAGGGCGAACAAGAGAGAGAGTGAGAGAACGAAAGAGAGAGAGAGAGAGAGAGAGAGAGAGAGAGAGATAGAGAGAAAGGTATGACCGATAATACAGAACGAGAGGGACGAGGAGGCGTGAATACGATGATGATGAAGTGCATGGGCGAGGGCGGGGAGACGGGAAGCGGGCTGAGAGGGTGGGATGGGGCATATATTCATGGAGCGTGGTGGTCGAGCTTGGAGTCGGGAGCGATAGGCGTGCGATGGCGAGACGGAGAGTGATATGTGATAACAGCGAACATGTCGCGTGGAAGGGGAGGTGTCCACATTGGAGGCGCTGATCAAAGCGGACGCAGCTGAGGGCACGAACGAGTGGAAGTTCGCAGCAGGGAAGGAGACCAGGGGCGAGCTGGACAATGCTATCAAGCAGGTGCCCTGGGGGGATTGCGCACGTGCCCCGCATCTCCTCGCCCCCTGCCATCCGGCCTCCCATCCATTCCCAGAGCAGTATCGGCTAACCCCAACTATGTCCTCACCATTCACGTTCATTTCCATCCAGGCATCAAACGGCGCCCCGAGAGGGTCTACAGTCAGCCTATACTGTTTCCGAGAGGTCCCCAAGAGCCCCCCAAGAGGCCCCAAGACGCACAAAGAAGATATGACGCCCACCAGGGAGCCCACACGCCCTTCGAGCATGGGCGCGCGTTCGACTCGGCGCTGGATGCGCGCCGCGCCGAACGCGCACGCTGGACGGGGCTTGGTCGCGTCCATGGTCGCGTCCATGGTCGCGTCCATGGACGCGACCATGGACGCGTCCAAGCCCCGTCCAAATCCAAGACGGTGCTGCCGTTCAAAATGGCGGGGGTGCA